GGAGAAGAGCTTTCTCTTGATTGTTAGAGGACTTAGTAAAGTTGCTTAGAAGAAAAGAAGGTTTTGTGCTCAGAGAGATGTTTATGTATGCCTTAGCTGGAGGGTGGACTTCAAAGTAGGAGAAAGGAAGAGTCTTTGCTTTTAAGGAAGAAAGATTTAAGGGTAGAACAGAAAATCCTGATCAGGAGAGCAGAAAGGGTATTTGATTTTTATTCTTTATCAGGGTGAATTTGCATTGGATTCCATTACAATAGAGGTAGATTATTTGATTTTTTTTTTTGAGGGACATGGAGGAGATACAAGATGCTACTTCTATCCTATTTCAAAGAGAAAGGAAAGGAGTCATCATAAGGGTTTAAAATATATACAAAAAATAAAAAATAAGGATAATGAAGGAGGATAAATACAAAAGTTTGACATGGTTTTTTGAGAAATACTTCAAAAGTTCTAAAGTTAAGAATGAGATGAGTCAGAGGAGAAAAGTTAAGAATAACAAAAAGGATTTCATAAGCTACTTTGGAGGGAAAAGGAGTATTAAGGGAGGGATAGGACTGCTGCTTAGATTGATGGAATGATAACTCATGACAGAGATCTAAGCTGTTAAACTCTATTTTGTTTCTTTTTTTTCTCCTGCCAATGGGAATGATCTTAGTTAGTAGTGAAAAGAATAGAATAAAAATTGTTAACTGGGGATTGATACTGAATATAGTTGCAGAATTATAATAGCTAACTTTAAGGTTTGCAAAGCATTTTATAAATATTATCTCATTGTTTCCTCACAACAACCCTGGAAGGTAGGTGTTATGAGGAAACTGAGGCAGACAGCAGTTAAATGACTTGCCCAGTTAGTAAGAGTATAAGCCTTAGACTCTAAGCAAGATTTGAACTAAGGTCTTCCTTACTCTAAATCTATCACTACAGCCATTGTGCTACCTGCCTCACTCAGCCAAATCAGGATAATTTATTTGGGGAACAAGGGAGGCGGTAGAGATGTATGAACTCTACATCCTTTATGTAGACCCTGACTCAAGCTGGTCCTCTGGTAGTTTAGATCCAATATTAGAATCAAATGAGACATTCATGGGTCATTCAACAAGTAATAGAAGGTTTTCTTAGACAAAACATAGAAAAGCTACTTAACAAGGATATAGTATAGCATTCAGCTCAGGTAGAGCCTCTTTGCCTCCATAGGAAATGAGTCAACAGAGCAGGATACGGTGACTCATGGACCTTGTGGCCTGGGCTAAGACCAAAGGACCACTATTCCATGTTGTCATATGATCGATGTGAGCTGCCTAAAGTATTTTTTAAAAGAAGCTCACAGGCCCTAAGTTAAGAATCCATGCTCTAATCTCTCCACCCCAAATCATCTCCACTTTCTTCCTATCAGAGGCCCTGATCCTATAGCTACCTAATTCACCTATCTATTGCTTTCACCTTTGCCATCTTAGGCTATTGTTGTTCTCTCATTGCCCAGTCTTAACTAAAGGTTAACCTCACCATCCGCTTTCTTCACTCCAGCTTATTAGCTGCTGAACATTACTGGAGGATATCACACTACTATGCCGATTGGGTCCAGTACATATTGATATTGACAAATCTCAAATCTGGTTTCTCATAGCTAGATGGCAAATTCAGTAACCATGGAAAAACTACTTAGTCTCATTCAGCCTCAATTTTCCCATCTGTAATGTGGAGACAATAATAATTGCTCTAACTACCTTACAGAGTTGTCGTGAGGAAAGCACTCTAAAGTTGGCGAAGTATAAATATGAGCTATTATTTTTTACTATTTTCCCAAGATCATACTGGTAGTCAACTGGGAATGGAGTCTGGATCTCCTGGCTCCTCATACATCATGCTGCCTTCCTCTCCCTCCACCCTCTTTGCCCACTCCAAAAGTATCAAAGATAACGAATCATTCCTGGAGCTGACAACCCTGGTTCTCATTTGTCAATGCAATTTTCTTGTGTTTTCTAATACTGTAAAGGAAACAATCATTGTAGGAGTCAGTAGCAGCTGCTGTGAGATTGATAGAAGATGTTTTTGTACCCCTGGTTCCTTTGATGTCCTACTCCAGGGATGTCAGAACAACAGAATTGACAAACTTCTCAGAAAGAAGATTCCATGCCTGCCAGAGGGATTGTGACTTTGAGTGTTTGTGAGAAAGTGTATACTGATACGGGTACTGATGGGTTTGTGTTTGAGCTGTACTTGCGTGCTTATTGAGTCAATGTCAGGAAGCCTGGACAAGCACTCATCTGAGTGAGTCAGAGGGCCTAAGGAAGGAATAAATGAGGAAGAGAGATCTGTAGTCTGACCAGAGACAGTTCCAGGGGTGCAGGTAACAGTTTATAGGGTGGAGAAGAGGGGAACAGTCAATTTTTAGGCAGAGCTGCAGTAGAAACATTAGTGTAATTGAAACTTATATCTAGTATTATTGAGTTAATTAACATACAGAATCAGGTGAGAAAGTATCATAATTAACTTTAAACTGAGAATTCAAGGACAAGCCTAGCCCAGGAGTAGGATTGGAAGAGTCTAGGTTATGGTACCCAAGTATAAATGTATGAACCTCAGGTGTTGTGTTCTCACCCACGCACAATAACCTGAAGAGAATGTTTTTTTTTCCCTTCTACAAAGAAGAGTAGCTGAGGTTAGAAGGAAAACAGACCCAGTGGTGAAGCTCTCAGGGGCAGTGCTATACCCAGATTAGACCTTCAAGAGAAGGGCACACAAAAGGCAGACAGAACCAAGTGGGAAAATCAATAATTAGGTGTGGAGACAGCTAGCTGGATCTTGAATGATAGAAAGAGACACATCGTGACTTGCCTGCCTAAGTGCAAAGGTAGCATGAGGGTTGGAGGGATGGAGCCAGGGATGGGACATGTGGGAGGGACCAATGATAAATGGAATTTCTGGAGGACAATAAACTGGGAGGCCTACATCCAGGGCCACTCAGGTGGTGTCCTGAAATCTTATTAGTTCCATACTCATGACCTAAGAGGCAGACAGAGCTCTGGAGCCTAAATGTGTGGGTGAGCCAGAGGTACAAGGGAAAGTGTTGTAGACTGAATCATAGGAAACTAACTGCCAGATGATGTAGGAATCTTTTGGGGGTTAGATACAGCCTATTAAGAAAAGGTAAACCCCTATGTGGATGAAAATGGATACCAGGATACAAGCAGTATTTTTTTAAAGGCGACAGAACAATTTTTAAACTTTAAAAATGTAATGAAAGTGATTGTGAAAGAGTACAAACAGGAGGTTTGTAAAACCCCCCACTCAGATGGTCAGGAGGTGATTTGGCAATGTAGTTGAGGAGCCAACAAAATAGTCATACTGAATCTAACAAAACCTCTTCTTCTCCCTCCCTCTCCCCAGTGTGGGACAGAAGTAGAAAACAGAGCTAGAATACTCATATTCCTCTTTTTAGACACTAATAGCAAATAAAGATTGATATGATTGGCGTTGTAGAAATGTGGTCAAAGACAAATAAATGGGACACTCTCCAGAGCACAGACTGGTTGCCAAGTCAGAGTAGCATAGTGGATACGGCACTGGACTTGGAGATTAGTGGGATCTGAGTTCTAATCCTGTGTCAGGCACTTTAAAATTATGTGACCCTGGGCAAGTTGCTTAACTTCTCTGAGACTTGGAGGTTGGGCCTGATGACTTACAAAGCCCTTTCCAGCTCTAAACCTATGATACTATGATAGGAAGGAGAGACTATGGCAGACCATGATAATACTGTAAAAAAAATCATATTTGAATAAAAGAGTTGCAGTAATGGTTAGAGACAACAAGGTATAGTAGGAAGAGCCGGGAGTCAAGAAACCTAGGTTCTCTCCCCACTGTGGCCACTGTGTGACCTTGAGCAAGTCACCTCTCTGGGCCTCAGTTTCCTCACTTGTAAAATTAACTACCTCCTTTAACTGCCGCTACTGCACATCTATTATATAATGTACTGAACTCCTGCAAAACTTCATTCTTTTCTTATTTCTTTCTGCCTTGTGTTATAGTTACGTGTGTATATGTCATCTCTCTCCAAATAGGCTGTAAGTTCCTTGAAAGCCACGGCTCTTTATCTTTTGAAGGCTCTGAGTAAATATTTGAGTCCAATGAAATTGAAAATTGATTTTCAAGCAGTGACTCCCAAAGCGCTGCAAGATCCCCAAGAGCCTTCTGAATCAGTAAGAACAAACTGAGTCATGTTCAATAATACCACTTGAGTATAAGATGGCCATATTTTACTCTAATCCACTCCACTGATTTTCAGTGATTTAGAAATTCCTGAAAAAAAAAAAAAGAAATTCCTGGTCACCAGGAAGGAATCAAGCATTTATTAAGCACATATTGTGTCCAGGTACCATTAGGTATCAGTGACCACATTCTAAATCATTGAAAATTGGTTAGGTGTCATTCGGTCAACACATATTTATTGAACATTTGTTCTGTATCCAGCCCTGTGCTAGGTTTTCTGGGGATATAAAAGCAGTAAAATAAATGATCCTTGTTCTTAATGATGTAATCCATGTAGAGAAATAAGGATAATATAGATGAATAATTATGGACAAACTCAAAAATATCGTGAGCCCAAATGAAGGTCATAAACTTCAGTATAAGCTGGAGTAGGTCAGAAAGGCTAGATGGAGGAGGTGGGATGTGAGGGGTGCCTTCAAGGTTAGGATTTGGGTAGTGGAGGGGAGAGAACATTCCCAGTATAATTGGGTTGGAAACGGTGAACAAAGTTTGGGAGTCTTAGAGACTTAGTATATGTGAGGAGCCATGAAAAGACTGGATTGACTGGAGAATAGAATTTGCATTGAGAAGTATTAAGTAATAAAGGGAGGGGTTTTTGTTTTTAAGAAACACCCCACACACACCCCTTCACTATATAAAACCAGCATCATTGGTGGATGAAAAAGAATTGAGTAGCATATATTATTACTCTTGTAGAGAGCATCTTAGTCTAATTTAATTTTTCCCTTTCTCTGTAGGCCCTGACTTATTTAGCTCAAAGAACCTTGCCCTTCAAGCACAGAAGAAGATTCTGAGCAAACTAGCTAGTAAAACCGTGGCCAATATGCTCATCGATGACACCAGCAGTGAGATCTTTGATGAGCTCTACAAAGTCACCAAAGAACACACTCACAACAAAAAGGAAGCCCACAAGATCATGAAAGACTTAATTAAAGTGGCCATCAAGATCGGGATCCTCTACCGAAACAATCAGTTCAACCAAGAGGAGATGGAGATCGTGGAGAAACTCAGGAAGAAGCTAAATCAGACAGCCATGACCATTGTGAGCTTCTATGAGGTAGAGTACACTTTTGATAAGAACGTGCTTTCCCAACTCCTGAATGAGTGTAAAGACCTGGTGCACGAACTGGTAGGGAGGCACCTGACTCCCAGGACCCATGGACGCATCAACCATGTCTTCAATCACTTTGCAGATGTGGAATTCCTCTCTGCCCTCTATAGTCTGGATGGAGAGTGCCGAATGAACCTCAAAAAGATCTGTGATGGAGTCAACAAATTGCTGGAGGAAAAAATTCTTTGAATTTTTTCCCCTCCATTTCCTCTTTCTGGATTTAAAATGACAGTCACTGAGCGTCTCTGATGAGCAACAGCAGCAACAATAACAACAACAATGGAACAAAAACCCTGTGAAGTGTATCGATTCTCTGTCTCGTTCATCTAGCAGATGCTAGCTTTATTCTGCGTCCAGGTGTACTCCCGGAGCTCCCTGATGTGGGATTTTTAATGTGTGTCTGTTTGTTTGGAAATGCTTGACATAAATGGCATCTCAGAGACTCGTTAAGGAGAGTTGATAACACATCCCAAGTGGGGAAACTACTCTGTTGAACTACACCAAAATCAAGGGAGACCACTGATTCAGCTTTTCTGAGTGTGTGAGGGGTGATCAGTTCAGGAGGGTAAGAGGGAAAGAACAAAAGAAACAAACAACTGGCTTTTAAATGTCTTCTTCTGGGTGTGCAAGATTTTTAAAAATAGTAATAATAATGACCTAGAAATTTAAGGAAATACAGCCTTCCAACACAAGAAAATATATTCTCCCCAGTCCCCCCCCCCAAGCAACAACATGAGTTAGCATATAGATCAAAGACTTGCTGTGGGAAGTAAATATGCTTTCATTACTTTGGGCGGGGGGGGGGGAATAGTGGAGTTTTCTTATTTCAAATGTTATAGTACTCCATAGGGGACAATTTCCTGAGGATATGTCAATAGTCCCTAGTGAGAGGTAATGTCCCTTCTATAGCTGTCCCTGAGAGATACACACATCTCATATCTGTGTGTGGGTAATCAGCTATGGTTCAACGAAACTCTACCTGACCCAGGCGTACAACTAACAAATAAAAGTTTATACAGGTGAAAATCAGGCAGGAAGAATCCCTTTCCTTCATTCTCGACCTTCCCAAGTTTCACAGAACCATTTTTTGGGGGTCCATTAAACTGAACAGCCCTTTGAACAAAGGAGGAGCTTGGGATTATGATTCAGAAACAAAAGCCACCTGCCATGAGATGCTTCCCTATAATAAGAACAGTGGAAATGACAGGAGAGAAATCCAGATGTCAGAACACATGCCCCACTCTCTATTCTCTGGAACAAGAATGATCATACTGTCTCAGATCGTGGTCCAAACCAGCCTTGTAGGCTGTCTCTGGTAGCAGTACTCGTGCATGGATGGATGACTTGTGGGAGGTCATGGTTGCAACATCAGCCAAAACAGCAGTGGTCCAGATGCCAACTAGTCAGACTTGAATTGCTCCCATTGTCAAAGTCTATTAAACACTTCAGTGAAAAACAGCATTGTGCAGGTGTTGAATTTTTTTTTTAACCAAGAGAGATTTTCAGCCTCTAGAATATCATTTTTTAAAACTGAAATGGAGTGGGGAGGGGCAGAGGTAATGAATGGTTGATGAATCCTTCTTTAAAAAGGATTCCCATGTTCTCAAGAATTGTCCTTGCTTTTTTAATCACGAAAGAGGAATTGGGGCACAGTACTTGCTGCCTTCACAGGTATTGAGAGTGGTTCTGTCTCATGTTGCTAGCAGGGAGCAAGGGTCAGTGAAGTTCAGCCAACCTGGCATCCATAGAAGCTGCAGGGAGCAGCAGGCTTCTAGCCTTTTCCATTGCACCTGCTTATAATTCCTGCCTCAACAATGACCTGACAGCTGGGATTGTCCTATTTGAATGCCTGACTTGGTGATTTTAAAAATGCCACACAATTAGCTGAGTGACCTTGGGCAAGTCACAGCCTCTCTGAGCCTCAAGTTTTATTATCTGTAAACTGAGGGGATTGAACTAAAGATCTCTTCTAGCTCTTACAGCACCTTCTGCACCATTCTTCATTGAAAAAGCACTTGCAAAAGAGGCTAGCTAGCCCATGCTTTAAAACAATAGTACTACCTATGTCCAGCCTTTGTTCATTACTTAAGACAATGAAAATCAGCAAAGCGAAATCACAGGTTAAGACATCTACTTTCAGTTTTCACTTAGCAATAGGGTCAGACCATCTAAAATCACAGATATTTCCTTGGTTCTTGATATATTTCTTACTCTTTTTATAAAGACAAAACCAAGAAGGGATAACAAATGAAGAATTTTTTTTTGTTTGGATCTAATTTTTTTGGTGTGGGAACTCCTTCCATTTATTTGTTGTTAATCATTTCAGTCATGTCCAATTCTTTGTGATCCCTTTTGGGGGGTTTTCTTGGCAAAGATATTGGACTGGTTTGCCATTTTCCTCTCCAGCTTATTTTACAAATGAGGAACTGAGGCAAACAGGGTTAAATGACTTGCCCAAGGTCACATAGCTAGGAAGTGTCTGAGGCCAGATTTGAACTCATGAAGATGAGTCTTCCTGATTCCAAGCCTATTAAATGCAACCAAATCAGTGTAAATTTTCCTCTAGACCAGACAATTTCAGGTTTATTAAAAGATAATGTATAAGATAATGTAATGACTCCAAGCCTAGTGCTCTATCCACTGTGTCCCCTAACTGCCGTCCTCCATTTATGCACCAGGCAATTTTTAGGTCCTTATGGTACCTAAGTCTGGGGTCTGGGAGGCTATGTAGTTCAGTATGACTCCTTTTACAGTTAAGGAAATGGAGGCCCAGGAAGCTTGAGTGATTTGTCTAACATCATACTAGTAAAAAACATCAAAAGCCAAATTTGAACCCATATCTTCTTACTCCAAAAGCACTTGTATCACTTTCTTCTGTACCATTCTGCCTAATCTTAGATAATTTTACTGGAGAGGGTAAATGAATTGTCCATGATCACCAGGTTGTTACATGTCAAGAATCAGGGCTTAAGAACCAGGTCTACCTGGTTCCAAGGCTAGCCCTTTATCCACTATGCCACACATTCTCTCAGGACAATTTTTTCTTACATAAAAAGTCAAGAAAACCATGATTTAAATTGAATAAACCTACATGGAGTTTCTTTCTGGAGGTTTTTGACAACCTAATCTCTTACTCAGAGGTCAGAAAGCCAGGCTTAGTTGACAAGATTCTTCCTTTTAAGGGGAGAGAACACAGGCAGTGGGCATTCACAAGTGGCACACAGCAACATGCCCTCATTATTAGAGAACAGTTGGCATTCTCCCCTCCTCAAGGATGCACCTCTGGGCACATTTGAGAACACCAGAGTCCTGTATGTTGAAAGTCACCACCTATCCTAGACTCTGGTGTTATTTGAATGCCTATATACATCACTACTTCTGCCTGGGAGATATCTGGCTCCTTACCAATTACAATAATCCACATTTCTATAGTGCTTTAGGGCAGACATGTCAAATTCAGGCAGCAGCAGGAACACTCAACCAGAAGCAGATTAAAATGTAACTGGCAAATGTTTAACAAAATAAATAAAAATACAATATAAGCAATATTAATTTGTGATTTTCTAAGTCAGTCTGCAGCTTTCAAGGATCCATTTCTGTTTGTTTAACATCACTGCGTTAAGGCAATCTATTGTAATAGAGAACTGACCTTCAAGAAGTCATGGGTTAAAGCGATGGCCCAAAAAAGTACTACTAACAACTTAATCTTTTTGGACACCTTAGAATAATGGTTTTAAATGCATAAAATAGAATTCTTAGGATCACAAAAGAAACCAATTATATTAAAATACATTTATCAAAATTCTAAAAAAAAGTAAGTGAAGTTCATGGACCCCATTAGATTAAGACCTGATAATCTAGGATCTTGAATCAGGGACCCAAAGTATGAATTTTACAGGAGGAACCCTTAAATTCAAAATACAATGTGGAAAATGTGTAATCAAGACACCACATGAAGTATAGCAAGATAATTTCCTAAAAAGGGCCTGCAGCTGTTTAATATAAGCAGCAGCCGTAAGTCCTTCAGTCCACTGAAAACCAGAACCTGGGAGAACACTGAATCAACTCTTTTAATAAACCTGAAATTGTCTGGTCTAGAGGAAAATTTGCACTGATTTGGTCGCATTTAATAGATGAATTTGGTACAACTATTAAGATAATAAAAACAGCATGATTGCATTTATGTATTCTATACAGTTACAAAATAACTTGCCACACATCCTCTCCCCAATCAATTGAATATTCCACTTTTAAATGGAATCCAATAACAGACAACTTCTGCCTTTACCTCCTCTTCCTCCTGGAAGAAAAGACAGACATCTCTATTTTTTGTTTTAGGAACATGCATTCATCACTGAATTGAGTCAAAATCTGTGTAAAAAGCATAAGAAGAGATTATATTATATAGATATAGATGTATATTTTGGGAAATGGTTTCTTATCCTAAGAAACAGGCCATTCTCATGGTGATTTCTGACCCTGTCAACACCACAAGAATTCATAGGTCTCCCACCTACACAAACCAATATCAGAAAATAAGATGGTCTCTAGAGCAAGAGAATCCCAATTATCCCAGTCGCTGATGAATATGAAAATGGAAGCACCAGTCTCTGATAGTATTCTTCCAAACAGAATTCTGGGATACAATAGCATCTCTTTGTACATTCATGGCTTTTCTCATTGGTTGTGGAAGTCATTATCAACATTCTAGACTTGAGTTTCATATTCTGAATATAAGTTCATGGTAGCTCTGAGTTAGAAGACACATAGTAAATTATACTCTGCCATTATGTATGAAGAGTGAGTTTTTTGCCTTCTCCTACTTGGAAACTGAATCCATCCTATTATCTTCTCTTATCCTTCTCTCCTTGGGTGCCTCTTCCCTTGTCCACTTGTAGCTTTACTGTCCTGGGGCCTCTGTAGGAGAGGAAGGCTATACTCCTACATTCGCTCACTCTTTGGGGGACAGCACTAAGGTCTTCTGTGACCAGTCCAATGGGTCACTTAAACATGGATGCTTTTACTGCAGTGGGTTCAACCAACTAAATTCAGTACTTCAGGTCCAATCAGGGTTACCAATAGGTATCCCAGGCTTTTGCTTACACAGGTAGACCAGCTTTAAACATTCCTGGAGTTCCCTGGGCCCCTGGCTCAGGTTAGTCAGCTGTTTGGTGACCTGGAAATGCTCTGGCATTCCCCCAAACTAAATAAAACAGTTGCCTTGGACACAATATGCAGTTTTGCAGTTGCTTTTTTTTTCCATTTCTCATCTTTCAAATATTTAAGCATCTACTAAATTAACTATTTAGATATCATCCACTGAGACTAATGAATTGCTTTGTTTAAACTTGCTAAATATATTCTCCTGGATTCCCTAGAACCTATAATAAATGGTCACATCTAGCTACAGGGTACATAAGAATTTAGCTCCCCTGAGCACTTTTTATACCCAGTGCCCAGCCACTATATTATACTTCCAAGTGTTATGTGTTTGGCACTGTGCTTGGCACTTGAGAAAAGACACCCTCCCTTCCCCCATATCCCTCCAAAAATCACCCATCCTTTGCTCTAAAGGAGCTTACATTTCATCAAAAGAAGACAACATGGAACTTGGCTTTATAAAGGTATTTTCTACTCATTGCTATAACTAAGGTTGGACAGCTACCCTATGCACTGGCATCTAAAGGGAAAGGGAAGGCACTGCACTCAAGTTACAGACCTCAGTCTCAGTCCCTTGAGGTCTTCCATTGGCTTGTACCAGCAGAAGAAAGAAGGTAGGCTGGAGAGGACTAAGGATTAGGATAGTGGAGATCAGAGGAGAAGGACAGGATGGAGATGGGGGAGTATTTCAGGGCCCAAGGGTCTCCTGGGAATAGAGGCTAGGTTTCTTTGGGGGACAAGGAGCGGGGGAGCAGATGAAAAGGTTACTGTTAGTCAAGTACTTTTTAATGAGAGTGGCAGTATAACTCTCCATCATACCAAGAACAAGTAGCAGATGGAGATGTGATGTTCTGAGGAAAGATAGCTTGGAGATCAGTTAGTGGAGAAGGTGAAGGGCAGGGTAGTTGGGAGGAACATCGGAAATGGAAAGTTCCCATGTATGAGGGTATGGGTTGACATGCAAGACTGAACCATGTGCTGAACTTAAGAAAGAAGGAAAAATTGCTTGAGAACTAATAGGTAACAGCAACCAGGATACATAGAGTGACAGATGGAGGAAGAGTGAACTTCCAAGAAGTTGCTAAGTGATGGCATTATAGATTGGGTCTAAAAATAGTAGTGAAGGGCAAAGAATCTATCTTCTCATCCTGGTCTATTATATCAGAAATATGAAAGAAGACACATTCAGTACTGCAGAGAGTGGTCAGGGATTTAGCTACTCCTGAGAGGAGCCAGTTTTCTCTTAAGTGCAAGAAGATGATACGATGAAGATGTTTGAGACAAAGGGAAATTTAAAAGTA